TAATCCTTGATAGAGGCAACCCACTTTACTGTAAAATATTCTGAGCGTCAGAATGCAGTAGCATAACTGAATTCCTTTTTTTATTAAAGACTTGGTTTTCAAATTCAATGTTTAAAATATTAATTATCAAGAAATAAAAACGTTTTCAGATTGGGTGTTGCAAATGCATATTGATGCTCTATAAACTTTTCTGGCAAAATCATCAAAACGTAATGGAGTTATAAACGTTAACCAGTTTTTTTTTTAGAAAAAATTTTGATAAACATAATTTCGCAATTACCTACAACCCCAACTAAATAATGGACGATCCAACGGTATTATACAAAAAAGTAACATATGCTCGTCACCTTATGCATTACGTCCTAGGACGTTAACCGAATTGACACCAGATTAATAAAGTGTAACATTAAATTAATTACGCATTATTACCTGTATTAGGTGTAGAATGTAACGTTTCATGGTTTACATGGATAACAAACCAAATTGACATGTCGTAATCACTAGGATCAAAATTAACTTCCCAAATTTGTTAGCCAATCTGTAGAAACAGACAAAAAAATAATTAATTAATCAACCTGCTTCATTGATTACAAGGCAATAAAAAAGGTATAATGAAAAAAGTAAAAGAGGGAATAATTTACTAAATGGAGACAAAAGAATAACTTTAATTTCTTTTCTACAAAACAATAAATGCCTATGTTTCATGAACAGATTATTCAGTTACAATTGCAATGTATTTTTTATTTATATGTATTACACTGCCAGCAGCCCGAAAATTGATACGTACATTGTTGAATCAAATTTTAGCAAGGAAACTGACGATTTTCGATTTTTAAATAACTAAGAACAAAAATCTTACCCAAAGTATCCCAAGGTTTCATATCATTACAGAAGGAATAATACATTTGGAAAAATTCCTTCACAACATTAATATTATTACATCATGGCATAGACCATTTTCAAGCTCGTTGGTACTATAAGGCCTGTAGAAAAACAACAAATATTTTAATTAATTTATAGCAATTCTGTACTTATTTCATTTAAATAACTTTTCCGTATATATATTTAAAGTAATAAATTAATACATATTTTATATCCAACTTTACAAAACCATTTACTAAACACCCTATCTGGAGCTATGTATACTGACATGTGGCAGCAAGATAAAAACATTTTTTCAATTGGGAAATGTACCTAAATGCGTATAAATGTTCTAGTATTTCTTTCACACACCCTTACCAGTATGATGAGCCATGAAACAAATATAAGAGGAATACCACTGAAGACAACTTGTTGTTTCAGTGGCTCCCAAATTAATTTCCAATTGCCTCCCATGACCAAAACTAACTGCATAATATTGTAAAGTGAAGACATTAAAAGCATCGATTGCTTCGTTAGCACCATAATTAACTGCAATTCTTTCTTACCGTTGGACAATCTATAGAAACGGGCAAGAAAAAGTAATTAATTACCATTTTTAAAGCAAGTAAATCAGTAAAATTCAGATTGACGAAAAGATCAGTTCCATATTAATTCTGCTGTTCTGCATATGCCATTTCTGAAATGTTTAAACACTGTGTATTGAAGCAAGTTTCAAATGTCTAAGAAATTTAAGTTTCTGGGACCTCCCTCACCCACTACTTTTAATTGATACTGTTACATACCAGTTCACTGTCATAAATCCCTTTTTCAGCAACAGCACACTGTCTCCATTCCCAATGGAAGAATGGTATTTTTATGCTTTTTTTAGGGCCATAGGTACAACTACTTTCCGGAGCAATTGATAACTAACACAACCAATGGTCCATAATTTAATGGCATCTGGAGTTCTTCTGATGTTCCTCTAAAATGAAATTTAATGAAAAAGTGTTCAGATATAATTTATTTAGCCTCCCCAGTAAATAACTATGTAATAAATTGTTAAAGTAATGCTGAACCCTTTTCTCTGTTAATATCAAATAAATATGATCATGAATACATAATTTAGCATATACACTCACCTTAATTAATTAACTATAAGAGCCTCCAAGATGAAAAGTTAACAGATAAAACACCTTAGGAGGGAGACGACTTGTTTTTTCCGTAGCATCAAAATGATCTTCAATCTCCTCACTCGTTTATCTTGAATCTGTAGAAATAGAGAAATAACGAATTAACTATTATGTGAAGTAAATAAATTATTAAATTTATTGTTAAGTATAATGTAAATTGAATGGACAATAAAATAAACAACATTTAAAAAATAAAAACACTTACAAAAAAGCAAGTAAATTGTAAAATTGTTACTTTTAAAACGACAATGTAGGGTGGCTTATCTTTCAAATTCATATAATAATTATAATAATTAAAGCGGAGATTGGTTACACGGAAATTTAAATATGTATTTAATTCCTATCCTTCTTCTTCCGACTTAAATTCAGTCAAAATACATGCGCGAAATGGACGAAGAAAAGAATTAAACACTGGTATTAAATAAACGAAACACCGAATAAAAGAAAAACAAGTACCTAATCAAAAACAAAAATGGCGACCTCCAACAACTTTGTCAATTTAATTTATGCCGTGGACAATTGCGAAAAATAATAATATAATATGGATCAATCAATCTAACCTTTCACGTAGAAAAATATAAAACTACTTCTGCGAAAAAGTTAGCTCGGCAAGTCGAATTTAAAAGACGCGAACAAAACATCCTACCTCTTTAACACACTACGGACTTATAATGCACCGACCGCGACCGCGTCTCCAGCTTGACTCGAATTTGCGATAACTACTACAAGAAGCACTGATGACGCGTATAGAACACCAATCAGAAGCATCAAATTCGATTTCGGCGACGGTTCGCGGCAAAAGTTTCGAAATTTAACCAATCGCGTGACCAATTTTATCCCCGTTTTACAGAATTAAATTTTATGCGCGTTTTGCTTCGAGCACGTTCCATGGCGTCTGATTACAACTCTAAAAATAACTGAATACAACAGCGAGAGAGAGACAGTGGAAACTTGAAAAGGAGAGCTTTAGAAAAGAAGATAATGATTCTGAATTGAATTACGGATGGGGTAAAAATGATTATTTAAAGATGAGACAAAGACTTGCTTCAGAAATAATAAAAGTTACATATGAAAATCTTTTTTTTAAAAAAGGTTTTATTTAACAATAAAACGTAAAAATACCCATACTAAAGAGGAAAAAATAAGTTTTTTCTAAAATAAATTTAAACTAAAAATAATATTTTTATAAAATAATATCTCACTTT